CGGCTGTGACTCAGGTAAAGCTGTGTGGCGTCTCCTTCTTGTACAAAGAGCTAGCCTGGGTGCTGACTGTGCTGGTGCCTGCTTGCCATGTGTGGTCACGTCCTCTACGTCTTCCCTCAGTCCTGTTCCCTCCACTGGGCATGGGCACAGGAGGACATCACCCACCAAGTGTACCTATGTCCTTGATGAAACCTTTCTGCTGGTTTTCTTTGCAGCTTTGGATTCTCTCTCTTGTATTTCCTCCCCAATCCTGGGGCTTGAATTTAGGGCCTGGGTGCTGTCCTGAGCTTTTTTGCTCAAAGCTGTTGCTCTACCACTTGAGTCCTATCCCCACTTATGTCTTTTTTGGTAGTTTAGTTAATTGGAGATAAGAGTCTCTTAGACTTTCCTGCTCTTCTTGGTTTTGAACTGTGATCCTCAGATCTCAGCCTCCTAGTGACTAAGATTCTAGGTGTGAGCCACTGGTGCCTGGCTAGGTTCTTTTTTAACCCAGTGGGTCATATTTCTTCACTTTCTTAGAAGGATGTTTGGATGTGCAATTCCATGTAGGTTTTCCCATTTGATATCATATCAAAGACAACAATACAAACTGTAACATCCTGAAGCTTCCTTCTGTCCCTGGTATGTTGATTGCTGTGCTTATGTGTGTGTGAAATGCTGTTGAATTTTCTCCTTTGGGACAGTTGACATTCAGGGATGTGGCAGTGGATTTCACCCGTGAGGAGTGGTGGTGCCTGACCCAGGCTCAGCGTGCTCTGTACAGGGACGTCATGCTGGACACCTACAGGAACCTAGACTCTGTTGGTGAGGACCCCTCCCTGCACAAGTTTTAGTCTTCACCCAGTTTTCTCCTGAATGCCTGGACAGCTCCCCAGTCTCCATGACTAGACATAAAGCTCTGTGGACTCAGAGATGGGAATGAGCTAACATGGCCTCTGGATTTTCACATCCATCCTTTGTCCTGCTCTAGTGGTGCATCTCCGTGTCCCACAGCTTAAGTGAACTTGTGTGCATGTCAGCTATGGCAGGCTTCTCTCTCATTCTGCTTTGTGCCTTTTTTCCCTTCACCTTTTTCCCTTCCTTTCTCTACTCTTCTCCTTTTCTTTCCTTTCCTTCTCTGGGACTTTGTGCATGTTAGGCAGATCCTCTCATCACGAAATAAATCTCAAGTACTATGGCAAACCCACCAATAAACTTACTTTCCCTCTCTCCCTCCCTCCCTCCCTCCCTCCCTCCCTCCCTCCCTCCCTCCCTCCCTTCTTTCCTTCCTTCCTTCCTTTCCTTCTCTCCCTCCCTCTCTCTCTTTTTTTTTTTTTTTAAGAAAAGGTTCCACTTTGTAGTCCTGGCTCGCCATGAATTTGCCCCTGATCTTCAGAGTGCTGGGATTACACACAGCTGACACCACACTCAGCCCATGGCAGACTTTGAACGGATTTCCTTATGCTTCTGACTCGGTAGTTTTTGCGTTGCTGTCTGCACATTAAAGTGTCCTCTGAAGTGTTCAGATAGAGGCAGTCTGGTGAATGTGTGAACTGTCTTTTGCAACCATGTGTGATGTACCCCCTTTCTTGCTAGTCCTGGGGCTTGAACTCTGGGCCTGGGTGCTATCCCTGAACTTCTTTTGCTCAAGCCTAGTGTTTTACCATTTGAGCCACAGCACCACTTCCAGCTTTTTCTGTTTATGTACTAAGGAATTGAACCCCTGGATTCATGCATGCTAGGCAAGCACTCTACCCCTAAGCCACATTCCCAGTCCCAGTGATGTCTCCTTTTCCCATAATGGTGGGACTGGAGATTCCGGAAAGGCCACAGCACATTGTCTTTCTATAAACAGGAGTCTCCCCTCCCAGCATGAGTGTGATTTCGCTGTTCGAGGAAGAGCCCTGGGTGGCACAGAGCCGTGTGACAACTCCAGGAGAGCTGAATGGTTGGGAAGGCGCCAAAGGTGTGTGCGCAGGTAAGAGCTCAGATGTGCAGAGATGGAGCTGGGGAACCTGGGCACAAATGGACGTTTTCTGTAGGAAAACCGAAGTGTCACTGCTGTGAGCCCTAAAGGACTTTAGAATGTCCTCACTTGTGCCCTGTCCTGCAGAGTAATATGCCATTCTGTGTCTCCACTATATTTCCCTGCGGCCCAGGCTGGCTCTCCAGCTAATGGTTGGTGTGAGGTACCCCAGCATCTGTTTTCTATGTTGACTTCATTTCCTTCAGATGCACACCTAAAGCTATGGCTGGACATTCCACTTCTCATATTTTGTGCTTTTTCTCTAACACAAGTTCTTTTGCTTTTTGTTTTTTGTTTTTTTTGCCAGTCCTGGAATTCAATGCCTGGGCACTGTCCCTGAGCTTCTTTTGCTCAAGACTAGCACTCTACCACTTGAGCCACAGCACCACTTCTGGCTTTTTCTGTTTATATGTTACTGAGGAATTGAACCCAGGAATTCATGCTAGGCAAGCACACTACCACTAAGCCACATTCATAGCCCTTTTTCCTTTTTCTTTTCTTTTTTTTGTCTGTCATGGGCCTGAACTCTGGGCCTGGGTGCTGTCCCTCAGCTCTTCAGCTCAAGGCTAGTGCTCTACCACTTGAGCCACAACACCACTTCTGGCTTTTTTCTGCTTATATGGTGCTGAGGAATTGAATCCAGGGCCTCATGCATGCGAGGCAAGCGCTCTACCACTGAGCCACCTTCCAGCCCCCTTGTTTGCTTTATCCTGGGTTACTATTCTCTGTTAACTTGCCTAGCATCTAAATGTCATCAGCCTGTATTGTGCAGCATAAGTGCCAGATATCTCCTGTTCATGTTACATTCTGCTATGAGTGCCCGTAGGCAGTTTAGAGCACATACTCCAGGTGTTTTGTTTATTCTTTTTTTTTCCTCCCTCCCTCCCTTCCTCCTTCCCCTCTCTCTCTTTCTCTCTCTCTCTCTCTCTCTCTTTGTTTGTTGTTGGTCCTGGGTGCTGTCCTTTAGCTTTTCAGCTCAAGACTAGCTACCACTTGAGCTAGAAAGCCACTTCCGGTTTTCTGAGTGGTTTACTGGAATAAGAGTCTCAGGACCTTTCCTGCCTGGGCTGGCTTTGAACCTCAATCTTCAGATCTCAGCCTCCTGACTAGCTAGGATTACAGGCATAAGCCACTATGCTCTGCTGTTTCTTTTCTTTATTGTATTGCATTCTAAGTCTTCCCCCACCCCCCTCTGCTTTGTAATTGGATATTGCCTGTTAATTCAGGCTGTAAAGTGCTATGGGTTCTGAATCATTACAACATGTTGTGTGAGACGTGGCGTTTATTTGTACATAATCAGTATGGTATAAGTAGCTTTTTTTCTCTTTGGTTATGATATCACCATATGGTTTTTGGTAGTTAGGTGTTCCATGGGACCCAAGGGGCAATATCCTGTGTTCCTGTCCACCCAGACTTGCTCAGGATGCATATTTCCTCATTAGTTGACAAGAAGCTTACATTTTCTGTTTTTCTTTTTGGTTGGTTGTAGGGCTTGAACTCTGGGCCTGGGTGCTGTCCCTCAGCTCTTCAGCTCAAGGCTAGTGTTCTACCACTTGAGCCACAGTGCCACTTCTGGTTTTCTGGTGGTTTATTGGAGATAAGAGTCTCTGGTACTTTTGCTGGCTTTGAACCATGATCCTCAGATGTCAGGCACCTGAGTAGCTAGGATTACAGGTGTGAGCCACCATTGCCCAGCTTACCTTCTCTTAATTTGGATTCCATATGATCAACTTTCCAATGAAAGAATCCTATTCCTTTTTTTTTTTGGGTCCGATCGTGGGGCTTGAACTCTGGGCTTGGGCGTTGTCCCTCAGCTCTTTAGCTCAAGGCTAGCGCTCTACCACTTGAGCTATAGGGCCACTTCTGGTTTTCTGGTGGTTTATTGGAGATAAGAGCTTCAGGGACTTTCCTGCCCAGGCTGGCTTTGGGCCATGATCCTCAGATCTCAGCCTCCAGAGTAGGTAGGATTACAGGCGTGAGCCACAGGTGCCCCGCAAAGCTGCATTTCTTTTTTTTTTTTTTTTTTTTTTGGGGGGGGGGGGGTCTGGTCGTGGGCCTGAACTCTGGGCCTTGGCGCTGTCACAGCCTCAGCTCTTCAGCTCAAGGCTAGCACTCTACCACTTGAGCCACAGTGTCACTTCCGGCTTTTTTTTTCCTGCTTATGTGGTGCTGAGGAATCGAACCCAGGGCCTCATGCGTGCAAGGCAAGCGCTCTACCACTGAGCCACCTTCCCAGCCCCTCCTATTCCTTTTGTGTTCTTAAAATGTTGGATTTTATGTTTCTCAGAGTTCATACGGCTCCTCAGTGTGTGTCTGATATTTGCTGTGGTATTCTCTCTTTGAGTGTGAAATACTTAAATGCGTGATTAATCAGATGGGAACTTTATATCTTGCAGATACCTCTCCTGCATATGTAATTAAAGAATTACCATCCAGTGCCGGCAGCGGTAGGGGAAAAATATCCCAAAGTCATGAGGACGGAGGCACTGATGAGTTTTCCTACAAGAAAATCCAGAAAGCTCCCCATGAATGGGAGTGGGAGTGGAGCTACACTGAAGGCCGTGCTAAAGGGGTACTTGTGGTCTACAAAGAAGAGGGCAGTGGTGGAGGAGAGCAGGAGGGTGGTGGTCATATGGGGAAGCAGCCCACGAGCCTGTGCCTAGGACAGCCCCTCCAAGAGCACCTGCTTGGGCTCCCGCCGTACCTGTGTGAAGGGCCAGGGGTGAGGACTGAGGTGGAGATGTCCACCCTGGCTGCAGCCCCTATGTTGCCCCCTCAGGGAAGTCCTTCCAGTGGGAACACACACATCATCCCTGCAGGTGACAACGCCTCCATCTGTTCTCCCTTGCACTCACAAACACCCAAAGCACACACTGGGGAAAAGCGTCACAAGTGCGAGGAGTGTGGCAAGGTATTCGACTACCCCTCGGTCCTGGAGCGTCACCGGCTGACCCACACTGGGGAGAAGCTACACCGCTGCGCCACGTGCAGGAAGGCTTTCTCCACACGTTCTTATCTCTTGGTTCACGAGCAAAGCCATAGCAGCGAGAGGCCCTACCCATGTTCTGAGTGTGGGAGGGCATTCAGACGGACCTTCAAGCTCACTGAGCACTTCAGGACACTAAATGGGGAGAGGCCCTATGCGTGTGAAACGTGTGGCAAGGCCTTCCGCGTGCGTGGTACTCTTGTAGCACACCAGGCTGTGCACACTGGCCTCGGGCCACACAGGTGCAGCAAATGTGGAATTGCGTTCAGCCAGGCCTATAGCCTCCTCCAACACAGCAGTGTGGACACTGAAGACAGGCCGTTCCAGTGTGTGTGTGGTAAGGCCTTCAGCACACTTGCCTCCTTCTATGGACACCAGGCTGTGCACAGTGGCTGTGCATATAAGTGTGATAATTGTGGGAAGGTGTTCAGCCAGGCCAGCGATCTACTCATACACCGCAAGACACACACTGGGGAGAAGCTGTTTGTGTGTAGTGAGTGCGGGAAAGCCTTTAAATCCCACTCAGAACTCCACAGCCACCATGCCATCCACACACAACGCAAGTCCCATCTGTGCACAGAGTGCGGGAAGGCATTTTCCCGGAAGGTGAATCTAGTGCGCCACCAACGGATGCACATCAGAGGAGAGGGCCCCTACGTGTGTGACGTATGCGGCAAGGTGTGCAGCAGGCGCTCCAACCTCACGTGCCATCGCAGGCTTCACACCCAAAAGAAGCCCTGCCAGACAGCAACAAGGCGTGATCCACCCATGTGTGGCCTTTAAGGACTTATTCTCCACAGATCATGAAGCCCTGAACCAGAGTACCTCAGGGACAGTGCCCAGGCCCTGAATTCAAGCCCTTGGACTGGCACTGAAAAATGATGTAAGTTTAGCTACTGTTGAGGCTCTCATAATCCCTATGGCCCTGTATTCTGCAGTAACCCTGTTGCATAGGGTGATTGTATCTCCACTTTTTTCTTTTTGATCATCCCAGGGGGAATGTTTCAGGTTGGATCTGAATTTCCCAGGACGCACTGCCATGGAGGGGACAGGTGACATGGAGGTGGTGGCTCCTGGGGAGGTGGCATCCTGAGGTCACACATCCACAGGCCTGGCTCCCACCCTCAGGCCATCAGGACCTGGTGCTGATGCTCCGCAGTTGTTGGGAGGGGGTGGGAGAGAACCAGTACAGGTGCAAGGCACATCAGGAGCCAGGGCAAGCTGTGGTGTCCCAGCAGCCAGAGAGACATGTGGAGAGCCCAGATGGAGGATGAGGAAACAAGGGAGAGGATTTTCTGAAGCCAGGCTTGAGCTAGGTATGGGTGCTTTGGGTTTGCAGAGCTTCTGCAGAATCTAGGTGTCCCGGATGTAACTCATTCCTGCTGTCAGTCATAAAGACACTGGGCTGCAGATGGGAAGGTGTGGGAGTTTGAAACTCTGAAATCAGGGGGCCATGTTTGTCCTGAGCTCCGTCCCAGCAGGATGTGCTGAGTGTGGCTGTCCCCTCTCCTTGACCACACACTGGGAGGAAGCGAGAAGTCTGTAGGGCTCTGCCCCACCAATGGACCTGGATTCAGTGGGGAGATGTGCATGAGGCACTGGTGATGGTGATAGTTTCCTGATAGAATATAAAGAACAAGTGCCTTTTTTTTTTGGTCCGGTCGTGGGGCCTGAACTCTGGGCTTGGGTGCTGTCCCTCAGCTCTTCAACTCAAGGCTAGAGCTCTACTACTTGAGCCACAGTGCCACTTCTGGCTTTTTTCTTATGTGGTGCTGAGGAATCGAACCCAGGGCCTCAGGCATGCAAGGCAAGCGCTCTACCACTGAGCCAACTTCCCAGCCCAAGAACAAGTGCCTTTTTAAAAATATTTTTATTTTTATTTTTTGTCAGTTGTGGGGCTTGAACTGTCTGGACAGGACTTGGGTCCTGTCCCCGTGCTGTTCAGCTCAAAGTGAGTACTCTACCACTTGAGCCACAGCACCACTTCTGGTTTTCTGGTGGTTTATTGGAGCTAAGAGTCTCATGGACTTTCCTGCCCGGGCTGGCTTTGAACCATGATCCTCAGCTTCCTGAGTAGCTAGGATTACAGGCGTGAGCCACTAGTGCCCAACTATAATAATATTTTTTTTTTTTTTGTCGGTTGTGGGGCTTGAACTCTGGGCCTGGGCGCTGTCCCTCAGCTCTTCAGCTCAAGGCGAGCGCTCTACCACTTGAGCTACAGCGCCACTTCCTATAATAATATTTTTAAAAATACATAATTGTTATTATGAAGGTGTTATCCTGAGTGGTTGTGGTTACCATTTCAGAAGTCAGGTAATGAGTACATTTCTTTTTGGACACTCACCTTTTCCTTCCCTTCCAGTAAGGTTTGAAAACTTTTTTTGTATGTGCCAGTATTGGAGCTTGAACCCAAGGCCCTGTGCTCTTGCTCATCTTTTTGCTCATCAGCCACAGCTCTACTTCTAGTTTCTTTTCTGACTCATTAGTGATAAGTCTTTCAACCAGGCTGCCTTCCTCAGATCTGCAGTCCTCAGATCTCAGCCTTCTGAGAAGCTATGATTAGAATGAGCCATCAGTGTCCAGTGGTTCTATTAAACTAGTGTTATTAGTTTTGACAGCAGATAGTCCTTAGTTCTGAACATTTGTTGTGATTATTCTTTGGCGGTAGTGGGGGATTTTAAATTTTCTTTTTTTCTTTTTTCTTTTATTTTTGTCGGTCGTGGGGCTTGAATTCTGGGCCTGGGTGCTATCCCTCAGCTCTTCAGCTCAAGGCGAGTGCTTTACCACTTGAACTACAGTGCCACTTCCGGTTTTCTAGTGGTTTATTAGAGATAGGAGTTTCACGGAGTTTCCTGCCAGGGCTGGCTTTGAACCACAATCCTCAGATCTCAGCCTCCTGAGTAGCTAGGATTACAGGTGTGAGCCACCGGCACCCGGCTTTAAATTTTCTATGGTGACATTTTAAATTCCCAATAAAAAGTTTCTGAGGTGATACTTTCATAGGCTTGGTTGTTTGTCTCAGTAATATCCATGGAGTAAATAATCTTAAGCCAATCAGCATATACATTTTCTGTCCACTGAAAACAAGCACATTAAATATAAACTTCGATCGCCAGTCCTCCCAGCTGCCACTTCACTGCCCACAGTGGGTGAATCCGGTACCTTTTCTCTCCCCTCGCCACAATGCTGGTGGCTTCGTGGATTGTTTTCCCCAGTGAGATATGGGTTCCTAGGCTCCATCATCCAGGTACCCTTGGGAGGTCAGGTCTTCCAAAACTAGGAAAACACCCAGAGGCTGGGAAGAAACCAAAAGGAGAAGGCAGGCCTGGCTCCTGGCCCCTGACCCCATCCCTCAGTGCCCTGGCCCTGCCCCTTAGTGCTCTGGCCCTGCCCCGGTGTCCACTGGAGTCTCCCATCCCTGCTCCCCTTTGGCCACTGTTACTCTGTGCAAGGCACCCCACCTAGTTCTCTCTTCCTAGGCCTGGCTCCTCCCAGGCCGCCATCTCTTCAGGACCGCCTTCCCCAACTCACTCCAGGTATCCCCCATAGGCCAGGGTGTTGCCCCTCCCTTTCGTGGTCCTGCCCACTCGGGTTATTCCCACACATACCACTGGTCCCTTGGACCTGTGTATGGTTCTGGCCCTGCCCACCGGGCTTTCCCCTGGGCCTGGGCCTCTGCCCCGCCCCGTCGTCCTCGCCCCGCCTACCTGCTCGCTTCCTCCTCTTGCTCAGCCCCACGCCCTTTTCCCTGGCTGCGCGCGCAGCTCCCCTCAGACCAGGACGCGGCTGTTGTGAAGAGCAGTTCTCCATGGGCAAGAGTAAGTCTGCGTCGCGGTGTCCACAGCCCCCACTGCGGGGTCGGGGTGCCCGGAGCCCCCGCGCGGCCCTCCTGCCCGGCGGCCTGGGTCGCCGGCCGGTCCTCCCTGACCTCCGCCGGCCCTGGCGCGGCCGCGGCGCCCGGACCCCAGCGTCCCCGCGTCGATGCCCGCGGAGCGAGGGTGGGGCGGGCGCAGCCTCTGCTCCGCCGGGCTCTCCCGGCTCCTCGGGGCTCCCAACCCGAACCCGCACCTGGACCTGGGCTGCGACCACTGCCTCGGAGCCCCGACCCCGGGTCTCTCGCCCTACCCCGCCATCTGGCCCGGACCCTGTCCTAGACCCCGAACTGGGCACCCAGGCCAACCCCTGACCCTAGCCGTCACCCCACCACCGCCTCCACTCCAACATTGGGCCCAGATCTCTGGTTCCCATTCCAGGCCGGGCCCCCAGGGCAGATCAGTGCGGTCTTAGAACAGCAACCCGCTCTACCCCAACCCTCCCCACCCTAGCCCGCCGAGCTCTGCCCCGCCCCACCCATCCTACCCCTAGGCAAAGCCGGGGTTGGGGCAACCTGGAGCATGCCTTGTTACACTGCATCTGCAAAGGTGAGAGCAAAGTATCATCTGGAGAACGACTGAGATGAAATGGGGAAAAGGAAGAGATAACGGGGTCTCAACAGCATGGGGAAAAGAGAGAGTGGGGCGCAGGCTTTGCACGCAATCGATAGCAATAGCAGAAGAAGCCAAAAAGAAATCAAGAGGAAAGCAAATAGAGAAATTAAGAATTTTCATCTCTTGGGGCTCAGTGGTAGAGTGCTTGCCTTGCATGCCTGAGGCCCTGGGTTCGATTCCTCAGCAACACATAAGCAAAAAGAAAAAAGCCAGAAGTGGCACTGTGGCTCAAGTGGTAGAGCGCTAGCCTTGAGCTGAAGAGCTGAGGGACAGCGCCCAGGCCGAGTTCAGGCCCCACGGTCGGACCCCCCCCCCCAAAATTTTTTTTTCATCTCCATGGGGCTGGGAAGGTGGCTCAGTGGTAGAGTGCTTGCCTTGGATCCACAAGGCCCTGGGTTCCATTCCTCAGGATCATATAAGCAGAAAAAGCTGGAAGTGGTGCTGTGGCTCAAGTGATAGCTGAAGAGCTGAGGGATAGCGCCCAGGTCCAGAGTTCAGGCCCCACGGCGCCCCCCAAAAGATAATAATAATTTTCATCTCTAGAAGGACCCAAGACAATCACATAGGTGGCGGGGTGCAGGAAACGGGGAGGGGGGTGGGAACAGCAAGTCGGAGTGGGATAGATGAGAATGATTTGCAATTGTGCAGAGCCATTTGGGCCGAGTGAAAGAGAGGTCATAGGTTACAAAGAGAGTAGAGGGAACAGGGCCCATGGTTGTAACCTAGCCACTCAGGAGGCTAAGATGTGAGGATGGAGGGTTGAAGTCAGCCTGGGCAGGAAAAGCTGACACTTTTTTTTAGGTCACAGACTGGGACTCAAACTGTGTACTTGATATTTTTTTCACTCAGTGACTTTGGCTCTTCAACCTTCCCTGAGACTCTTATTTCCAATTAACCAACAGAAAGCCAGAGTGGAGTTGTGGCTCAAGTGGTAGAGCACCAGCTTTGAGTAAACAAGCTCAGGCACAGTGGCCAGGGCCTGAGTTTGAGCCCCAGGACCGGTATTTCCCATCACCCCATGAGGGCAGCACAGGATCATCTTCCCCAGTGTGAGGTCCTCCCTGGGCTGGGGCTGGGGCACAGGGAGTGTATGTTGGGTGTGAGCATTAAACAGGATTTTTTCAGCACTCAGGACTGACTTCTGGAAAGTGATATCATCTAAGGAGGAAGCCCAGGGAGGAGGAAGAGGAAAGACGGAAAGACATGGAGCAGGGATGGCGGCTGTGACTCAGGTAAAGCCATGTGGCGTCTCCTTCTTGTGCTGGCCTGGGCTCTGACTGTGCTGGCCCCTGCCTGCCAGGTGTGCTCACCTTCCCCACACCTTTCCTCAGCCCTGTCCCCTCCACTGGGCATGGGCTCAGGAGGGCATTGCCCAACAAGTAAGTGTTCCTGTGTCCTTGCTGAAACCTCTCTGCTGGATTTCTTTTTGGATTCTCTCTTTTATTTTCTCCCTAGTCCTGGGGCTTGAATTCAGGGCCTGGGTCTATCTTTAGCTTATTTGCTCAGGGCTGCTGTTCTATCACTTGAATCACAGCTCCACTTTTGGCTTTTTTTTTTTTTTGGGTCCGGTTGTGGGGCCTGAACTCTGGGCCTGGGCTCTGTCTCTCAGCCCTGGGCCTGGGCGCTGTCCCTCAGCCCTTCAGCTCAAGGCGAGTGCTCTACCACTTGAACCATAGCACCACTTCCGGCCCTTTTTTTTCTTCTGCTTATGTGGTGCTGAGGAATAGAACCCAGGGCCTAATGTATTCAAGGCAAGCGCTCTACCACTGAGCCACCTTCCCAGTCCCACTTTTGGCTTTTTTGTAGTTAATTGGAGATAAGAGACTCATGGACTATCCTGCTCCAGTTGGTTTTGAACCTTGATCCTCATATTTCAGCCTCCTGTATGGCTAACATTCTAGGAGTGAGCCATTTGTATCTAGTTGGGTTCTTTTAACACAGCTTTTTTTTTTTTTTTTGGGTCCGATCGTGGGGCCTGAACTCTGGGCCTGGACGCTGTCCCTCAGCTCTTCAGCTCAAGGCTAGCGCTCTACCACTTGAGCCACAGCGCCACTTCTGGCTTTTTTCTTTTTGCTTATGTGGTGCTGAGGAATCTGTGTCTGAACTCTGTATTTTGCATAATGCTTTTGCTTCAGGGACTCATTTAAAAAATAATTAGTATTTTTCTGGTACTAGGTTTTGAACTCAGGGCTTCACACTACTTGCTTGCTTGGTGAATCCTCTGCCACTTGGGCCACACCTCCTGCCCCACTTTTGCTGGTTATTTTGGAGACGAAGTCTTTTGAATTCTTCTCAAGCTGGCTTTGAAACTCAGTCCTCCAGATATCAGCCTCCTGAGTAGCTAGGGTTACAGGTAGAAGCTATTCTTTTTTTTTTTTTTTTTTATTATCGCTTTGTAGAATTCTACAGCTTGACTCTATCACAGTTTATCTATTTATCTGTTTTGGGGTTGGTTACTTCCAGCTTAGATGAAAGAATAAAGCTACTATGAATGTTCAAGAATATGATTCTATATGAACATGTTTTCATTTCCAATGGTAAATGTATAGAAGTGGAATTGTTAGATCACATGATATTTTATTAATTAATTAATTAACTCTATTTATTACTGGTACCTGGACTTATACTTAGGGCCTCATGTTCTCGAACCAAGGGCCTCGAGCATGCAAAGCAAGCGCTCTACCACTGAGCCACCTTCCCAGCCCTTAACACAGCTTGTTAGAGTAAATTAGACTGTCAGAAAACCAAGGGGACATCCAAGTACAAAGAACAAAGGACAGGTTTATTGCCAGTAAAGGGACCAGCAACCCCTTCTCACCAGGTGGGAGGAAGTGAGAAGTGGAGCCAGGTCTTATTTCAGGTGACCTTTTATAATCTCTGGGATTTGTGGGATCTCGATGCCTTATTTGGTCTTAGCTGTCCCACAGCGTGAGCTCTCAGGACCGGGGGTAGGGGCTGATCATATGCTGCCTTTACTGCATGGGCCGAGTGTTGCCAAGGGAAAGAGCATGTTAAACCATGAGGGAGGAGGCTTCTGGGCCAACATAGCTCTGCATATATCCTTTCTCAGAAGAATGCTGGGATGTACAATTCCACATAGTTTTCCTTTTGGTGTCATGTCAAAGATACCATTATAAACTAACATCCTGAAGCTTCCTTCTGTCCCTGGTGTGTTGATTGCTTTGTCATGGTAGGCATTGATTATAATTCCATGTAATACTTTTTCTGAGTCCCTGCATGTGTGTGTGAAATGCTTTTGGATTTTCTCCTTGGGGACAGTTGACATTTGAGGATGTGGTGGTGGATTTCACCCAGGAGGAGTGGCGGTGCCTGACCCCGGCTCAGCGTGCTCTGTACAGGGACGTCATGCTGGACACCTACAGGAACCTGGTCTCCGTGGGTGAGTACCCCTCCCTGTGCAAGTTGGGAGTTTTAGTCTTTGCTTTCTTTTCCCCTGAATGACTAGAGAGACCTCAGTTCCATGACTAGATGTAAAGCTCTGTGGACTCCAAGACAGAAACGTACTAAAGTAGCCTACGGACTTTCACACCCATCCTTTTGTCCTGCCTCCTATGGTGCAACTCTGTGTCCCACAACTTAAATGAGCTCATGTGCATGTCAGCTATGCAGGCTTCTCTCTTCTCCTTTGTTCCTTTTTTCCCTTCCCCTTCTTCCCTTCCTTTTCTCTACTCTTCTCCTTTTCCTTTCCCTTCCCTCTCTAGAGCTTTGTAAATGTTAGGCAGGTCCTCTCATCACTGAGATACATCTCAAGCAGCATGGCAGGCCTTCCTCCTTCCTTCCTTCTTTCCTTCCTTCCTTTTTATTTATTTTATTTCTTGCGAAAAGGTCCCACTTTGTAGCCCTGGCTGGCCTTGAACTTGCCCCTGATCCTCTGAGTGCTGCGATTACACACACATGACACCACACTCAGCCCATGGCAGACTTTGTATCCGTTTCCTTGTGCTTCTGACTCGGTAGTTGTTGTGTTGCTGTCTGCACATTAGAGTGTCCTCTGAAGTGTTCAGATGGAGGCAGTCTGCTGAATGTGTGAACTGTCTTTTCCATCCATGTGTGATGTCTCTTTTTCTGGAATCTGGAGATTCCAGAAAGGTCACAGCATATTGTCTTTCTATAAACAGGAGTCTCCCCTCCCAGAATGAGTGTGATTTTGCCATTGGAGTTCCAGGAAGAGCCCTGGGTGGCACAGAGCCACGTGACAACTCTAGGAGGGCTGAATGGTTGGGAAGGTGCCAGAGGGGTGAGTGCAGGTAAGAGCTCAGATATGCAGAGAGGGAGCTGGGGAACTTGGGCACAAGTGGAAGTTTTCTGTAGGAAAATGAAAGTGTCACTGCTGTGAGCCCTAAAGGACTAAAGAATGTCCCCACTTGTGCACTGTCCTGCAGAGTAATATGCCATTCTGTGTCTCCACTGCATTTTCTGTGTCCATTGAAGTGCTCCAGGATGGCTCTCTCTAGCTAGTGATGGGTGTGCAGTACCCTGGTGTCTCTTCTGAGTAGTTTATTGGAGATAAGATTCTCAAAGACTTTCCTGTCCAGGGTAGCTTTGAACTGCAATTCTCAGATCTCAGTCTCCTGAGTAGCTAGAATTAAACTGGCCAGCTTGGGCACTTTATACACACACACACACACACACACACACACACACACACACACACACACACACACTAAACTGGCCAGCTTGGGTACTTTATATACACAAACACACACACGCGCACACACACATGCTATCTTAATTTCCTTCAGCCAGCTTGGGCACTTTATACACACATACACACACACTAAACTGGCCAGCTTGGGCACTTTACACACACACACACACACACACACATGCTGTCTTAATTTCCTTCAGGTGCATCCCTACACACACACACACACACACACACACACACACACACACACACACACACACACGCTGTCTTAATTTCCTTCAGGTGCATCCCTACACACACACACACACACACACACACAACACACACACACACACACACGCTGTCTTAATTTCCTTCAAGTGCGCACACACACACACACACACACACACACACACACACACACACACACACACACTATCTTAATTTCCTTCAGGTGCATCCCTAGAAGTAGATGGATATATAGAGCTAGACATTCCACTTCTTATATTCTGTGCTTTTTCTGCAACACAGTTCTTTTGGGGTTTTTTGTTTGTTTTCTTTTTTTAAATTTTTTTTGTCTTTTTTTTTTATTGTAAAGATACTATACAGAGGGTTACAGTTACATGAGTAAGGTAATAAGTACACTTCCTATTGAGCATTGTTACCCCCTCCATTGTTTTCCCCCTGCTATCCCTTCCCTCCCTACCTTCCCCAAGGTTCTTTTTTTTTTTTTAAATTGTGATTAAGTGATTACATAATTTCCCAAATTTCACAGTATTGTGGAATAATGATGCTCATTTAAAGTCACAAGTTCATTCTAACTTTCCTGGAGCAAATTGTCTATCATGGTCTATAACATATATTGTTTATCATGGGTTACTATTTTTTTGATTACTTGACTAGCATCTAAATGTAATTAGCATGTATTGTGCAACATAACTGCTAGACAGCTCTTGTTCATGTTAAAATCTGTTGGCTGTGAGTGGGTGAAAGCAGTTTATAGCACATATCCCAGGTGGTTTTGCTTTTCTTTGCTTTTCTGGCAGTGCTGTATTGGATTCTTCCCCCTTTTCCTGCCTCTGCTTTGCAATTCAAAATTACAAGTTAATGCATTCTGTAAACTGCTTTGGGCTCTGAATCATTACAACACATTGTGTGATGTGTGGCACTAATTGTACACAGTATGTTTAAACAGGCATTTTTGCTCTTTGGTTATGATGTCACCATATGGCTTTTGTGAGTTAGGTGTGCTGTGGGACCTGTGCATTCCTGTCAGATTTGCTCAGGATGCATGTTTTCCTCATAGGTTTCTTTTTTTGGCTGGTCCTGTCCTTGAACTCCTGACCTAGGCACTGTCTCTTGTCCTCTTTGTGCTCAAGGCCAGCACTCTACCATTTGAGCCACAGCTCCACTTCTGGCTTTTTTGCATAGTTTACTGGAGATAAGAGTCTCATAGGGATTTTCTGCCCTGGTTGACTTTGAATCACAATCCTCAGGTCTCAGCCTCCTGAGTAGCTAATACTACAGGCATGAGCCACCATCACCTGGCTCTTAGGTTGTTTAAAATGAGGTTTACTTTCTCTTAAGTTGAATTCCATATGATTCACTTTCTAATGAAAGAATCATATTGCTTTTGTGTTTGTAAATACTGGATTGTAGGGTTCTCTGTGTAATTTTTGCTATGATATTGTCTTTTTTTTTTTTTTCTTTTGGTTGGTCATGGGGCTTGAACTCTGGGCTTGCACGCTGTCCCTCAGCTCTTCAGCTCTACCACTTGAGCCACAGCACCACTTCCGGTTTTCTAGTAGTTTATTGGAGATAAGAGCCTCACGGAGCCGGGCGCTGGTGGCTCACGCCTGTAATCCTAGCTACTCAGGAGGCTGAGATCTGAGGATCGTGGTTCAAAGCCAGCCAGGGCAGGAGAGACCGTGAGACTCCTATCTCCAATAAAACCACCAGAAAACCGGAAGTGGCGCTGTAGCTCAAGTGGTAGAGCGCTCGCCTTGAGCTGAAGAGCTGAGGGACAGCGCCCAAGCCCAGACAGAGTTCAAGCCCCACGACTGACCCCCCCCCCCAAAAAAAAAAAAAAAAAAAAAAGAGTCTCACGGAGTTTCCTACCTGGGCTGGCTTTGAACCGCGATCTTCAGATCTTAGCCTCCTGAGTAGCTAGGATTACAGGTGTGAGCCACTGGCGCCCGGCTGATATTCTGTCTTTCAGCATGAAATAACTGTGTAATTAATCAGATGTAAACTTTGTCTCACAGGTACCTCTCTTGGATATATAATTAAAGAACCACCCAGTATGGGCAGCGGTAGGGGAGAAATATCCCAAAGTCATGAGGACGGAGGCACTGATGAGTTTTCCTGCGAGGAAATCCAGAAAGCTCCTCGTGAGTGGGAGTGGGAGTGGAGCTACACTGAAGGCTGTGCTAAAGGGGTGCTTGTGGTCCACAGAGAAGAGGGCAGTGGTGGAGGAGAGCAGGAGGGTGGGGGCCTCATGGGGAAGCAGCCCAAAAGCCCGTGCCTGGGACGGCCCCTCCAGGAGCACCTGCGTGGGCTCCCGCAATACCTGTGTGAAGGGCCAGGGGTGAAGACTGAGGTGGAGAAATCTGCCCTTGCCAAGGGCTCACATGTTGCACCCACGGGGAGTCCCTCCAGTGGGAACACACACATCATCCCTGCAAGTGATGACGCCTCCATCTCTTCTCCCTTGCGCTCACAAACACCCAAAGCACGCGTTCGGGAAAAGCGTCACAAATGCGGGGAGTGTGGCAAGGCGTTCAGCTTCCCCTGGGCCCTGGAGCGGCACCGGCTGAGCCACACCGGGGAGAAGCCGCACCCCTGTGCCACATGCGGGAAGGCTTTCAACACACGTTCTCATCTCTCGGTTCATGAGCAAAGACATAGCGGTGTGAAGCGCCACCTCTGCACAGAGTGCGGGAAGGCTTTGTTCTCACATTCCGAACTCGTGGCTCATAAGCGATTCCATACTGGCGAGAAGCCCTACCTGTGTGGAGAGTGTGGGAAGGCATTCAGCCAGATGTACAGCCTCACCGCGCACCGCCGGACGCACACTGGGGAGAGGCCACACCGCTGCGGAGTGTGTGGCAAGGCTTTCGCCTCACGCTGCAGCCTCAAGGAGCACCAGGCTATGCAGCACGGCGGGGAGAAGCGGTACATGTGCGACACGTGCGGGAAGACGTTTGGTGGTCGAAGGAGCCTCGCCTCGCACCTGATTATGCACACTAGCCACAAGCGGCACATGTGTGCCGAGTGTGGGAAGGCATTCACCCGTGCCTCCAGTCTCACCAAGCACCACAGGACGCACACCGGGGAGAAGCCCTATGCATGCAAGGTGTGTGGGAAGACCTTTAGCCAGTGTGGCGGCCTCATTCACCACCAGACTGTGCACACTGGGCTGAAGTCGCACACGTGCACCGAGTGTGGGAAGGCGTTCAGCCGCACCTGCTACCTCATCAGGCACCGCAGGACGCACACCGGGGAGAGGCCCTATGCATGCCATTTGTGCGGCAAAGCCTTTGCCCAGAATTGCACCCTTACCAAACACCAGGCCGTGCACATGCGTCAGAAAGGCACACCGGTGCACCGAGTGTCGGGCAGTGTCCAGCCAGACCTGCAGCCTAGCCATGCACAGCCACCTCAAGAAGGAGTAAAGTGCGGAGAGCCAAGTGTTGGTGGCTCATGCCTGTAATCCTAGCTACTGAGGAGGCTGAGATTTGAGGATCACGGTTCAAAGCCAGCCAGAGCAAGGAAAGTCAGTGAGACTCTTATCTCCAATAAACCACTAGAAAACCCGAAGTGGCGCTCTGGCTCAAAGGGTAGAGTGCTCGCCTTGACCTGAAGAGCCCAAGGACAGCACCCGAGCCCAGAGTTCAAGCCCCACGACCGACTCCCACCCAAAAAAAAAAAAGTGCAGAACCAGGATGTGACGTTGCCCAGAGTAGGGCGCCCTTCACTTTGACCCCGATTTTTATGAGGAAACATGCACAGAACCAAATGTGAGCTGAAGGGGCCCATGGGAAGTGAGCACAGCGTGGGGCTCTGGGAAAACGGTGGAGGTAAAGCAGAACAGCTGTCCCTACATGGAATACTGTGGCTGCTGTGTAGCAAAGCCTGCTGACTGGTCTTCTGATGAGACGAATTCATCTTGTTTTTGAGATGAAAGAGGTTTCTAGAGTAGAGAATTTAATCAGATCTGGAATGAGGATTTTGGGGTAACTTAATACTTGAGCACTTTCCTATCACATGCTAGTTCAAACCTCAGAAATACACATCACCAGCATAGCATTTCCTTCCTTCCTTCCTTTTTTTTTTTTTTTTGCCAGTCCTGGGGCTTGAACTCAGGGCCTGGACACTGTCCCTGAGCTGCTTTTCCTCAAGGCTGCCACTCTTACCACTGGAGCCACAATGCTACTTCCCTCTTTTTCTGTTTATGTGGTACTGAGGAATCAAACTAGGGTTTCATGCATGCAAGACAAGCATTTTACCAACTACATTGCCAGCCCCAGTAGAACATTTTCCAGAGAATGTTTAAATACTGCTACTTCTCTACTCAGAATGTATCTATGTTTTTGTTAATAAACTATCCCTTTTGAAAAATTACTGAGTGATTTATGATTTCTATCCAGGTAAGTTTAATTTAATTTCTTTTTCTTTTTTTTTTTTTTTTGGGTCCGGTCATGGGGCCTGAACTCTGGGCCTGGGCGCTGTCCCTCAGCTCTTCAGCTCAAAGCTAGCGCTCTACCACTTGAGCCACAGTGCCACTTCCGGCTTTTTTTTTCTTTTTGCTTACGTGGTGCTGAGGAATCGAACCCAGGGCCTAATGTATGCAAGGCAAGCGCTCTACCACTGAGCCACCTTCCCAGCCCAAGTTTAATTTAATTTCTAATTCTTCCTAACAGAAACCAATGATATCATTAAACTCTAGGAAGGTTAAGGATCTAGGATTTTAATTTGGAATGAAAACTGACACAGCTTTGGGAAGCTCTAAACTCTGTCCCCAGTGCCGTTCTCCACACTGTTAGGGTCTCATGTAGATAAAACAGCAATGGCACACATGGTAAAACCAGAGCCCAGTGCATTTTTATGTTGTAATGTGTGGTTGTACCTCCCAGCTCGGCCCAGCAGCATGGCCATGGCAGCCAGTTGCTGGGCCGTGGGAATCATCTACCTATCTCAGACCACAGGTGGAGTGGTGGGGAATTTCTCTACTGTCTTCTGCACCTTTCTCCTGTGAGTGCTAGTTAAGACCCACGGATGCGATCCTGCAGCACCTGCTCGTGGCCAACTCCCTGCTCCCCTCTTTAGAGGGGTCCCGCAGACCATGGCAGTTGTGGGGTTTGGACTCCCCGAGGGACTCTGGAAGCCAGCTGGTTCTGTATGTGTAGAGAGGGGCAGGAGTACATCCATGAGCAGCACGTGCCTCCTGAGCGAGGTCCAGGCGATCACCACCGCCCCCGCGCTTGCCAGGTGGGCCTAGCTCAGGGCCGCAATTCTGGGTCTCGCCGGCTTGTCCACGGGCCTGAGTTGGCTTGTTCACTCACTGCTAAATGTCACTGGACGTGATTGGCAATAGAAGGGACAAAAATGTCACTAATACCAAAGATTTTGGCTACTGTTCCTTTTACTATCCTGATCAAGTGGGACACATGCTCTGTGAGGTCAGAGGACTAAAAGTGATGATGAAATTGTAGTTTGCAAGTACAAATGAAGGGCAGAACTTTTTGGATGGTGGGGCCTGAACTCAGGGCCTGTGCACTGCCCCTGAGCTCTTCAGCTCAAGGCAAGCACTTTACCACTGAGCCAACTTCCCAGCTCAATATCTGTTTATTTTTCTGCTCCTGGCCTTGAATTCTGGGTCTGAGCACTATCTCTAAGCTCTTTTTGTTCAAGGCTAGCTCAATACCACTTCAGCCATTATGTACCACTCACTATACTTGGCCATAAGAGTCCCATGAGCTTTCCAGCCCAGGCTGGCTTCCACAATCCTCAGACCTCAGCCTTCGACTAACTAGGATGATGCATGAGCCACCAAAGCCAGGCTGACATCTATTTAATAAAACTTTCTTACAGCACCTATTGGTGACTTCACATCCCATGTGATAGCCCTCCACACCCCAGCACCCCACACCTTGTCCACAGGACCATCTCTAGAGTGGAGCTTCGGTCAGAAAGGAAAACCATTTTTATTTGGTACTGACCGGTGTCTGCAAGAGCCTGCACCCCGTCCCTGGGAGTCCAGCCTTTGTGTGCCCTCCCCATGGACGATTCCAGCTTCTGATTCAATGCCTTCAGTGGATTTCAGGGCCTAGGCCCAATGGCCTCCCACTTTCACCCCATTTCCCCAAAAGAGATCTGGGTTCCCAGGCTGGGTAGCCCAGGCCTCCTCCGTGGGAGGTCAGGCCTCCAACACCTGGGAAAACACTGGGAGGCTGGGGAGAAGCCACAGAGAGAGGCCAGGCCTGGCTCCTGGCCCCGCCCCCATAGCCCTGGCCCCGCCCCCATGGCCCTGGGGCCGCCAAAGGCCCATAGTCTCCCGTGGCTCCACCCCTTTGTCACTGTGGTCACTCCAGGCACGGCCCAGCCCACTCAATCTTCCTTGCCTTGACCTGGCTCCTCCCCAACCATGTTCTTTTCTTCTCCGCCTCTTTCCCGCCTACTTGCCCTATCCCTCTGAAGACAGTTTTGTTCCCCCCGCCCCCCCGCTTGCCACGCCTCATTGTGGCCCCGCCCACCGTGTTTCCCTGCCCAAGACTGGTCCTTTAGACTCAATTTTGTTCTTGCCCCGCCCATCCGCTGCTTTCCGTTGGTCTCCTGTCGTCGCCCCGCCCCTTTGTCAAAGCCCCGCCCACTCGCTCGCATTTCCCCCCCCCCCCCCCTGCCGTGTACATCCCGCACCCCCGCGGGCTTTCTCCCTTGCTGCGCGCGCAGTTCCCAGCAGACCCGGAAGCGGATGGCGCGGAGGTTAGGTCGCTATGCTGCTTGTGAGTCTCCCTGGATGTCAGAGTAAGTCGGCATTTCCGGGTGTCCCCAGCCTCCACGGGCGGGGGCGGGGTCCCTGCGCGGCCCTCCTGCCAGAGAGCCTGTGTCGCCGGCCTGTCCTCACTTCCTGTCCTGGGGTCCCTCCACACAGGGTGAGCTGAGCGTGGGGGCGTGGGCGCGGCCCGGCTCAGCCCCGACCCGACCCGGGCTCAGGCCGCTGACCCCAGCCTCCCGCCCCAGCCCCGAGTCCCTAGTCACGCCCCTCCCGCGATCCTCCCTCCACCCGCAGCCCTGCCGGGCCCTGCCCCCCCCCCCCCCGACAGTGCTCCCCCCCCTCCGTTTCCACGTGTGTCCAACCCCAGGTCCCCATCCCAAGGCCCCTGCCCCAATCTGCAGCCTGGCTACTCCCTGGCCCTGCTTCTGGCCTCGCTCCAGACAGACATTGCTAGACCCACAGAGCCAATTGCTGCAGCCCAGAGGCCAGGACCCACCTCTCCACCCACCCCACCTCAACCCTACCCTAGGCAGTGCTGGCTCCCTCCCCATCCTACGCCTGCCAGGCTAGGGTGTAGGTGGAAACCTCACACCTTGACTGTACTGGGGCTGTGGGAAGGTGAGGGCAAAGGATCATCAGGAGAAAGACTGAGAGGAAATCAGGAAAACAGGAAGAGAAGAGAGAACCCCCACAGCAGGTGGCAAAGTAGCATTAGGGTGCAGGCTTTACAAAGGATCAGTGGCATGAGCAGAGAGGAAAGCACATAGAGAAATGCAGAATCTCCATCTCCAGAAGGACCCAAGACATCACAAAGGTGGCAGGGTGCAGAAAATGGGGGAGCATTTCCGAAAGGGAGGAGAGGAGAATGATGCAGTTGTGCAGAGCCATTTGTTCCATGGGAAAGAGGGGTCATGGTTACAAGGAGAGCAGAGTGAGCAGGGCCCCTGGTTGTAACTGTAGCCACTCAGGAGGCTGAGATGTGAGGGAGGTTTGAAGTCATCAGACAGGAAAGTCCAGGGCTTTTTTTTTATTTTTAAGGTCCCAAAAGTGGTCTGAAATGGTAGCTGATGCTTTTTCTTTCATTGGCTTTACTGCTTCAACCCCTCCACATTTCCAACCCCACCCTGAGACTCTTAACTCCCAAGTAGCCACCAAAAAGCCAGAATAGAGCTATGGCTCAAGTGGTAGAGCACCAGCCTTGAGGAAACAAGTTCAGGGGCAGTGCCCAGGTCCTAAGTTCAAGCCCCAGGACCGGCATTTCCCATCACCCCATGAGTGGGCAGCATAGGATCATCTTCCTCACGGTGAGGTCCTCCCTGGGCTAGGGCGGGGGCACAGGGAGTGTGTGTTTGGTGTGAGCATTAAATGGGATATTTTCAGCACTCAGGACTGACTTCTGAAAAGTGATATTACCTGAGGAGGAAGAGGAAAGACAAGGAGCAGGGATGGCGGCTGTGACTCAGGTAAAGCCATGTGGTGTCTCCTTCCCATGCACAGAGCTGGCCTGGGTTCTGATTGTGCTGGCGTCTGCCTGCCACTTGTGCTCATGTCCCCCATGCCTTCCCTCAGCTCTGTCCCCTCCACTGGGCATGGGCTCAGGAGGACATCACTCACCAAGTGTTCCTGTGTGCTTGCTGAAACCTCTCTGCTGGTTTTCTTTTTAGCGTTGGGCATTTTCTCTCTTATTTCTTCCCCAGTCCTGGGGCTTGAACTCAGAGCCTGTGTGCTGTCCTGAGCTCTTTTTCTCAAGGCCTTTATCACTTGAGGCACAGCTCCACATCTGGCTCTTTGGGTAGTTCAGTTAATTGGAGGAAAGAGTCCCATGGACTTTCCTGTTCCAGTTGGCTTTGAACTGTGATTCCCCAATCTCAGCCTCATGGACATACAGGTGAGAACCACTGGTGCCCTGCTGGGTTCTTTTAACTCAGCTCATTATACGTGCTTACTTTCTCAGAAGAATGCAGGGTTGTACAATTCTACAAAGTGTCATATCAAACTGTTATAAACGGTAACACTCTGAAGCTTCCTTCTGTCCCTGGTGTGTTGATTGCTGATTATAATTTCATGTAATACTTTTTCTGAGTCCCTGCATGTGTGTGTGAAATGCTTTTGGATTTTCTCCTTGGGGACAGTTGACATTTGAGGATGTGGCGCTGTATTTCACCCGGGAGGAGTGGCGGTGCCTGACCCCGGCTCAGCGCGCTCTGTACAGGGACGTCATGCTGGACACCTACGGGAACCTGGTCTCTGTGGGTGAGCACCCTTCCCTGTGCAAGTCAGGAGTTTACAGTTTTCTTTGTTTTCCCGAGAGCCTGGAGAGCCCCAAATTGCACGATTAGATGAAAAGTTCTACCAGGTCAGAGATGGAAATATGCTAACGTGGCCTACAGACTTTAATAACCTTCTTTTTCCTCCCTCCTGTGTCCTACAGCATAAGTGAGCATGTGTGCATGTCAGCTGCAGCATGCTTGTCTCCTGTTCTCCTTTGTTCCTTTTTCCCCTTTACCCTTCTTTCCTCTCCCTTTCTTCACTATTTTCCATTTCTTTCCTTTCCCTCTCTGGTACTTTGTACACACTAGGCTAGTTCTCTCATCATTGAGCTACATCTCAAGCACTCTGGCAGACCAACCTTCCTTTCTTCCTTCCTTTTCTTCCTCTTTCTCCTTCTCAAATTTTTTTATTGAGACAAGTTCCCATTTTGTAGCCCTGGCTGGCCTTGAATTTGCCCCTGAACTTCTGAGTTCTGGGATTACATACAGCTGACACCACACTCAGCCCACGGCAGACTTTGAAAATATGGATTTCCTTGTCCTTCTGACTCAGTAGTTCTTTTTTTTTTTTTTTTGCGGGTCATAGGCCTGAACTCTGGGCCTGGGCACTGTCCCTCAGCTCTTCAGCTCAAGGCTAGCGCTCTACCACTTGAGCCACAGTGCCACTTCCAGCTTTTTCTGTTTATGTGGTGCTGAGGAATGGAACCCAGGGCCTCATGCATGCAAGGCAAGCACTCTACCACAGAGCCACCATCCCAGCCACTGACTCAGTAGTTCTTGTATTGCTGTCTGCACATTAAAGTGTTTTCTGAAGTGTTCAGATGGAGGTAGTCTGCTGAATGTGTGAAGTGTCTTTTGCATCCATGTGTGATGTCCCCTTTTCCCATGAACATGGGACTGGGGATTCTGGAAAGGCCACAGCGCATTGTCTTTCTATAAACAGGAATCTCCCCTCCCAGCGTGAGTGTAATTTTGCCGTTGAAGCTCGAGGAAGAGCCCTGGGTGGCACAGAGCCATGTGACAATTCCAGGAGAGCTGAATGGTTGGGAAGGCGCCAAAGGTGTGTGTGCAGGTAAGAGCTCAGATGTGCAGAGAGGGAGCTGGGGAACCTGGGCACAAGTGGAAATTTTCTGTAGGAAAACTAGAGTCTCTGCTGTGAGCCCTAAAGGACTTTAGAATGTCCCCACTTGTGCCCTGCCCTGTGGAGTAATATGCCATTCTGTGTCTCCACTGCATTTTCTGTGTCCATTGAAGTGCTCCAGGCTGGCTCTCCAGCTAACGGTGAGTGTGCAGTACCCGGTGTCTCTTCTGTTATTTTTTTGGGGGTGGGGGGACGGTCCAATCATGGGGCCTGAACTCTGGGCCTGGGCGCTGTCCCTCAGCTCTTCAGCTTAAGGCTAGTGCTCTATCACTTGAGCCATAGCGCCACTTCCGGCTTTTTTCTTTTTGCTTATGTGGTGCTAAGGAATCGAACCCAGGGCCTCATGCATGCAAGGCAAACACTCTACCACTGAGCCATCTCCCCCCATTCCCACTCCGTGTCTCTTCTGAGTAGTTTATTGGAGATAAGAGTTTCATGGACTTTCCTTCCTGAGCTGGCTTTGAACTGTGATTCTCGGAACTCAGCCTCCTGCTTAGCTAGGATTACAGGCGTGAGCCCCCAGCACCTAGCCCCAGCCATGTCTTTTATATGCTGGCTTCATTTCCTTCAGATGCACACCTAGAGCTATTGGCTGGATATTCTACTTCTTATATTTTTGTGCTTTTTCTGTAACACAAGTTCTCTTCTTTTATTTATTTTTTTGCCATTCCTAGAGTTTGAACTCAGGGACTGGGCACTGTTCTCAGCTCTTCAGCTCAAGGTGAGTGCTCTACCACTTGAGCCACAATGCCACTTCTGGTTTTCTGTGGTTTGTTGGAGATAAGAGTCTCATGGACTTTCCTGCCCCAGCTGGCTTTGAACGCGCTCCTCAGATCTCAGCCTCCTGAGTAGCTGGGATTATAGGCGTGAGCCACTCGTGCCAAGTTTTCTGTTTTAAAAGAGGATATAATTTGTTTATTTTACCATAGATTACAATTTTTTTTTGTAACTTGAATCTCAATGTAGTCAGGATGTATTGTCCAACATAACTACTAGACTTCTCTTGTTAAAGTCTGCTCACTATAAATGGGTGTAGGCAGTTTATAGCACATATTCCAGGTATTTTTGTTTTTGATTGCTTCTCTGGCCTTGTTGTATTGAATTCTTCCCTCTTGTCCTCATTCTGCTTTGCAATTCAAACTTGCCAGTTATTTCATTCTGTAAACTCCTTTGATCTGTGAACCTTTACAACATGTCGTGTGATATGTGGCATTTATTTGTACATTCTTAGTATGTTATAAACAGTCATTTTTTTCTCTTCAGTCATGATATCACCATATGGTTTTGCTAGGTGTGTGGGTGGTGGGGAGGGAGGGGACTCCTGCCTTCCTGTCAATCACATTTGCTCAGGATGCATCTCTTCCTCATACAATGTTTGAAATGAGTCTTATTTCCTCATAATATAGATTCCATGTGAACCACTTGCAATAAAGAATCCTATTCCTTTTCTGTTCCTAAGTAATGGATTTTATGATTCTCAGAGTTCACATGGCTCCTCAGTGTGTGTATAATAAGTGCTGTGGTATTCTCTCTTTCAGTGTGAAATACTTAACTGTGTGATTAATCAAATGGGAACTTTATATCTTGCAGGTACCTCTTCTGGATACATAATTAAAGAATTATCACCCAATGCAGGCAGCGGTAGGGGAGAAATATCCCAAAGTCATGAGGACGGAGGCACTGATGAGTTTTCCTGCAAGGAAATCCAGAAAGCTCCACATGAGTGGGAATGGGAGTGGAGCAGCACTGAAGGCCGTGCAGAAGGAGTGCTTGTGGTCCACAGAGAAGAGGGCAGTGGTGGAGGAAAGCAGGAGGGTGGGGGTCACGTGGGGAAGCAGCCCACGAGCACTTGGCTCGGACGGCCCCTCCAGGAGCATCTGCGTGGGCTCCCTCCATACCTGTGTGAAGGACCAGAGGTGAGGACTGAGGTGAAGTCTGCCCTCTCTGAGGCCCCCATGTCACGCTCTCGGGGGAGCCCCTCTAGTGGGAACACACACATCGTCCCCGGAGTGGATGATGTCTCCATCTGTTCTCCGATACTCACGCGAACACCCAAAGTACACATTCAGGAAAAGCCTTACCAGTGCGGAGAGTGCGGCAAGGCGTTCGGCTACCCCTCAGCCCTGGTGCTTCACAGGCGGATCCACACTGGGGAGAAGCTGCACCGCTGCGCTGAGTGCGGGAAGGCCTTCAGCCAAACCTCTGGCCTTGCTGTGCACCGCCGGACGCACACCGGCGAGCGGCCATTCACGTGTGGCGTGTGTGGCAAGGCCTTCAGCGTGCGTGCCAACCTCGCCGCACACCAGTCGGTGCACACCGGCCGCAAGCCGCACCACTGCGCCGAGTGCGGGAAGGTGTTCAGCCAAGCATCCAGCCTGGCCGCGCACCGCAGGACACACACCGGGGAGCGGCCATACGCATGCGGGGAATGTGGCAAAGCCTTTAACTCCCACTCCCACCTCAACACGCACCGCGCCATCCATGCGGGACACAGGCCTTACCAGTGTACCGAGTGTGGCAAGGCATTTGCACAGAACTCCCATCTCGCCAATCACCGCCGCACGCACACTGGGGAGCGGCCGTTCCCGTGCGACACATGTGGCAAGGCGTTCAGCCTGCGCTCCAGCCTCGCCACACACCAGGCAGTGCACACCGGCGCCCGGCCACACCGCTGCACGGAGTGCGGGAAGGCATTCACGCAGAACTCGCACCTCGCACGCCATCGCAGGACGCACACTGGGGAGAGGCCCTACGTGTGCAGTGAGTGTGGCAAAGCCTTTAATTCCCACTCCCACCTCAACACGCACCGGGCCATACACGCGGGACACAAGCCTTACCAGTGCGCTGAGTGTGGCAAGGCCTTTGCGAGGAACGCACACCTCGCCAGCCACCGTAGGACACACACTGGGGAGAAGCCGTACCCATGCGATACATGTGGCAAAGCATTTAGCATGCGCTCGAGCCTCGCTGAACACCAGACCTTGCACACTGGCGCCCGGCCACACCGCTGCACGGAGTGTGGGAAGGCATTCACCCAGAACTCACACCTTATCAGCCACCACCGGACGCACACCGGGGAGAAGCCGTACACGTGTGACACGTGTGGCAAGGCGTTCAGTGTGCGCTCCAGCCTTGCCACACACCAGGCTGTGCACACTGGGGAAAAGCCATATGTGTGCGATACCTGTGGCAAGGCGTTTGGCCGAAGGTCTAACCTCACAAGCCATCGCAGACTTCACGCCAGACAGAAGCTCAGCCAGGCAGGGCAGCTGGGTGTGATCCGTCCATGCGTGGCCACCAATGACTTGTTCTCCACAGAATATAAAGGCCAGGATGACACAAAACCACTCGCTGAGAGTTCAGACATACTGCTGAAAGGGGAGGTTTCCCCTGTAATCCCGGCAGAGGGGGATGAGTTCGATTGCAGCCTGAGCTATATCCAAGACCTTGACATTTTTGTAAAGTGTGTGTGAGAATAGTCATCACCAAGAGCAGAATACAAGAAATCTCATCATGTGCACGGCAGAGGCTCACAAGCAGGCATTAGTCAGTGGACATCAGAGCAGACTAATGTGCCAAAACCATCCAAGCCGAGCGCTTACCTCATCGCAGGACAACTGGGATCCATCGGCCCCTTCATTCTCCACCGTGGACTTCTCTTTTCCACCTGAAAAAGAATGCTAAGCCAAGAATAGGTTACAGCGAGACACACAAAGTGTGCAGGGACATCCAGAAGCCATGAGTGCTGCAGTTTCAGATGTTGTGCCTTCATGGTTGAACCCTGCTGGTGAAAAGTCAGTCATGGGACATGGAGGCTGTCCCTGAGCTCTTTTGTCTCAAGGCTAGTGCTCTAGCACTCTGAGCCACAGCTCCACTTCTGGTTTTCAGGTGGTTGACTGCTTATAATAGTCTCATGGACTTTCCTTCTCAAGGGTGGCTTTGAACTGCAAATCGAAGATCTCAGTGGTCTGAGTAGCTAGGATTACAGGCATGAGTCACTAGTGGCCTACTTGTTTATAGTTTTAGATCTGATTTCAAAGGGAAGAAACACAGCTGCCTTCATCTCAGAAACTGACTCAGCTTCACTTGTTCATTTCATATGTTCATTTCCCTGAACATGCCATCTTCCTCTTCCTGATGGATGAATAGAATTGGATTTTTCCCAATACATGAGAGTCAGTAGGACAGCATTTCCAGTGGGCTGAAAGCTGGATGGAGAATGTTGAGTTCCCTTGGCACCATACAGGCCTCAGTTTCCCAGGCCAGAGCCTCAGGATGAGACTCAAGGAATAGAGAGGATGGGAGACGCCCATGTGTCTATGGGGGTGATCCTCTTAGCCCAGACTGGTTGGGTTTCTGGATAATTTGTCCCTTCTCTTCCATTATCTATTCCTTTCCTGCATGGGGAACAGGATGAGAGCCACAGACTTGATTCTTAGGCACTTAATTGTGGCCAACTTCCTAAGTCTTCTGTGTAGGGGTATTCCCCAAACCATGGTGGCTTGGGGCTGGAGAAATTTCTTCAATGATGTGGGGTGCAAAATGGTCTTCTATCTTCACCGAGTGGGCAGGGGGGTGTCGATCGGTAGCACTTGCTCCCTGAGCATCTTCCTTGCTGTCAGCATCAGCCAGGGGGACTCCAAGTGGGCAGGGCTGAGGGGGAGAGCCCACAAGCACATTGTCTCCACCCTCTACCTCAACTAGGGCGGCGGGGGGGGGGGGGGAGGGGTGTCTTCCTCCTGGTGAGCATTGTTTTTCTCATGTACATGACTGGACCCAAAGTGCACAACAACATTATACTGTTTCTCTGTGCGTCGCGATCCAGCTGCTGAAGTGCTGTACGTGGCCATGCTCTCGGTGCCTGATGTTCTGTGTCTGGGGCTCATGCTCTGGGCCAGCACCTCCATGCTTTTCGTCCTGTATAGACACAAGCAGAGAATGTGACACATCCAGAGGACCAGTGTCTCCACCAGAGCCTCTCCCAAGTCCAGAGCTACCATAATCCTCCTCCTCCTGGTGAGCGCCTTTGTCTCCTTTTACACCCTGTCCTGCATCTGTCAGACTTGCTTGACTGTGATTTACAACCCCAGCCCTGTGCTGCACCATATGGGGGCGTTTGCTATGGGCTGTTTCCCAGCCCTCAGCCCTTTCCTTCTCATGAGCGGACACTCCACTTCCTGCAGCCTCCTCTTCACCTGCACAAAGAAGAAGAAAGTGGTCCTCCCCTGAGGACCACCAAGCTTGCATCTCTGCTGAACTTTGCTTGGCCATTCAACAATCTCCACACCTTGAAGAAAATCATCTGATGCAAGATAGTGGTGTGTGTATATGTACATGCCCCGTGCCTTTGTGCACTCTTATTATATCTGTGTGTTCACTTGTCTATATTTTGATGGCCCGCAAAATGATATGAGAAGTGACAGTGTTAGATTTTGAAATAGTGTTTATTACCACATGTCACCTTCCACTATGGAATCTATGCCACTAACCACTAAGTGGTGGTTGTGTCACTTTACAAGATGAACTGGTTAAACTCATCCAATGTGTGTTTTTCTAATTCCATTTTGATTCTTTTAGTCTTTCTTTCTGGCTTAGATAGTTTCCTGTGAAATCAAGCAAATCATTCTTGAAGCCCTTTCTGTTCATGAGCAGAAAGTAGTTAGAAGAAAATAGCGGCTGGGTCCTGGTAGCTGATGCCTGTCTTCTTTAGATGCAAGAGCTAAGGGTCACAGTTCAAAGCCAGCCTAGGCAGCAAAATCTGTTAGACTTTTTTTTTTTTTTTGGTCGGTAGTGGGGCTTGAACTCGGCTTGGGTGCTGTCCCTGTGCTCTTCAGCACAAGATGAACACTCTACCACTTGAGCCACAGCGCCATTTCTGGTTTTCTAGTGATTCATTGGAGATAAGAGTCTCACGGACTTTCCTGCCCAGGCTGGCTTTGAATCACGATCCTCAGATCTCAGCTAGGATTACAGGTGTGAGCTACCGGTGTCTGGCTGTTAGACTCTTTATCTCCAATAAACTACAAAAAAAAAAAAAAAAAGCTGGGCTGGGAAGGTGGCTCAGTGGTAGAGTGCTTTCCTTGCATGCATGAAGCCCTGGGCTCAATTCCTTAACACCACATAAGCAGAAAAAGCTGTAAGTGGCACTGTGGCTTAAGTGGTAGAGCGCTAGCCTTGAGCTGAAGAGCTGAAGGACAGCGCCCAGGCCCAGAGTTCAAACCCCATGACTAACAACAACAACAAACAGCTGCAAGTGGAGCTGGGGCTCAAGTGGTAGAGTGCTAGCCTTTAGCAAAAAAAGCTCAGGAACAGAACCAAAGCCCTGAGTTCAAGCCCAAGGACTGGCACAAAGAAAAGAGAGATAGCCAGACAGCTGGCCAGCAACAATCAAGAAGGAAAGAAAAAATCAGAGAACAATGGAAAAAAACGGTCCTGTTGGCCCCTACTCCCTTTCAGACAGGGACTTGCTGTGCCCCAGCTGGGTTAAACTCTCCCTTCTTCTGCCTCAGCCTCCTAAGGGCTGGGACTGCAGGTACGTGCTACCACACCAGCTGTTCTTTTTTTTTTTGTTGTTGGTCGTGGGTCTTGACCTCTGTGCCTGGGCGCTGTTCCTCAGTTCTTCAGCTCAAGGCAAGCACTCTACCCCTTGAGCCACAGCGCCACTTCCGATTTCCTGGTGGTTAATTGGAGACAAGAGTCTCACGGACTTTCTTCCCTGGGCTGCCTTTGAACCTTGATCCTCAGATCTCAGCCTCCTGAGTAGCTAGGATGACAGGCGTGAGCCACCCGTGTCTGGCTTCTGCCTGTTTTTGAATTTCAGGTCAACAATTCTTTCCTTGAGTCTGGCCTCTCGCTCAGTAAGATGAGTGTGAATCACCCAGGCTGCTGTCTTTTCTCGAGGCTGAACCCATTTCTGTTTTGTGAATAAACCACAGTTTATCTTCCATACCACTGTGGGCAGGCCCTTGAATTCCGTTATATATATGCCCACCAGGTACCTTTGTGACAGAATGAGTATGGACACAGTAGTGCGAGAGCCGGTGTGGGCTCCTACATGGCCTCCAGCTCCCAGCAGCAGGAGGCTCCATGCCACCTGAAAGGCAGGGGCCTGGCCACGCATAGCGTGTGCCCACCCCAGTGAGAATCTTGCTTTTATTGCTGGGGGGAGAGGGTTAGGGGGACAAGTGCTGGAGATCAAATCCAGGCCCTTATACGTGCTTACAGGTACACTACCACTAAGCTACATCTTCAGGCCTCAAATGATGATCTTTGATCTCTGAAATGACTGCTAACCCTTATAGCATGAATGAATGTCCAGTAAGCTCCCTACAGGCTTCCCTCATTCTCTCTCTCCCTCTCTCTCCTCCTTCCTTTTCTCTTTCCCTCCCTCCCTCCCTTCTTCCTTCCCTCCTTCCTGGTAGGGTCTTGTTATATTGCCCAGGCTGGCCTTCGACCCCTGGCTTAGCCTTTCAAGTAGCAGTGGCTATAGGTGTGAGCTACCGTGCCCATTTAGAAAACTTACATCTGTTTTAATATCTTTGCCAGTCCTGGGGATTGAACTGAGGGCCTGGGCACTGTCCCTGAGCTTAGTTTGCTCAAGAATTGCATGCTGCCACTTGAGCCACAGTACCACTTCTGGCTTTTTGGTGGTTCACTAGAGATGACAATCCAACAGACTTTCCTGCCTGGGCTGGCTTTGAACTGTGATCCTCAGATCTCAGCCTCCTGAGTAGCTGGGATTACAGATGTGAGTCACCAGTGCCTGGCTTAATGTCTGCTTTTCAACATTTTTCTCTCTCATTCTCTGTCTCCTCTCCTCTCTCTGTCCCCCTCGCCCTCTGAGACTTAAAATTCATCTGCTCTACTTCCTTAGGCAGTCGATTAAATATCTAGTAAATGAGTTCTGACCCAAACTTACCTCCATAGTTCCATCAACTATTTCAAAATAACTATATATAACCACACAGTACATGGAATGAGTTTATTTCACTGCTTGTCTATATTTTGGGGTGAAGTTGAGGGTGCCCTGTATATCATACAATTCAATATCCATTCGGGCCTTGTCATACAAACATCTTTGAAATCATTGTGTTGTTCGTATCCTAGACAGCCATACATCATTGCTTCATTAACTAAATGACTGTGGTGAGGAGAGCCACCTGGATTTGGGGGTTCTTTCTATCTATCTATCTATCTATCTATCTATCTATCTATCTATCTATCTATCTATCTATCTATCTATCTATCTATCTATCTATCTCTTTATTTTTGTCCATTGTGGAGCTTGAAATCTGAGCCACCTGCATTTGGGGATTCTATCTATCTATCTGTCTGTCTGTCTGTCTGTCTGTCTATATATCTATCTATATTTATTTTTGTTGATTGTGGAGCCTGAAATCTGGGCCTGGGTGCTGTCCCTCAGCTCTTCAGCTCAAAGCTAGCTACCACTTGAGCCACAGCATCACTTCTGGCTTTTTCTGCTTATGGCATGCTGAGGAACTGAACCCAGGGCCTCATGTATGCAAGGCAAGCACTCTACCACTGAGCCACCTTCCCAGCCCAATTTTGGATTTCTTAAAGAGATTCATTCACATTTTGACTTTTTTAAAGAGATGCATTCACAGCTGGGCACTGGTGGCTCATGCCTATAAACCTAGCTTCTCAGGAGGCTAAGATCTGAAGGTTGAGGTTTGAAGCCAGCCCAGGCAGGAAAGTCCATGAGACTCGTCTCTGATTAATCACCAAAAAAATTTTTAAAAAATTTAAAAAAATCCAGAAGTGGTGCTGTGGCTCAAGCAAGTAGAGTGCTAGCCTTGAGCAAAAGCTCAGGACATCCCCCAGGCCCTGAGTTCAAGCCCTAGGACCAACACCAAAATAAAAGAAAAAAAAAGAAGAGATACATTCACATGCATTGGTTGTACAGGAGCGGGACTCATGGTGACATTTCCAGACACACATAGAATGTGTCTCCACCAAACACATTTCCTTCCCCATTCTCCCTTACAACCCCCTCCAAAAATACTTTCAACAGGTTTTATTGTTCTCTTTTCATATGTGCAAATAAAGTACGCAATCAGGGGGCTGGGAAGATGGCTCAGTGGTAGAGCGCGTGCCTTGCATGCCTGAGGCCCTGGGTTTGATTCCTCAGCACCACATAAGCAAAAAGAAAAAAGCCAGAAGTGGCGCTGTGGCTCCAGTGGTAGAGCACTAGCCTTGAGCTGAAGAGCTGAGGGACAGTGCCCAGGCCCAGAGTTTAGGCCCCATGACCGGAACCCCCCCCCCAAAAAAAAAATATATAAAGTACGCAATCATATCCATCCTCATCCACCCTCCTCCTCTTCCTGGCACCCACTCCAACACAACCTGCCTTAGTTTCCTCTCAGCCATGTTTAAGTGCGTATTTGTAGCAGGCAGTTTCACCATGGTATTTCAGACGTGTGAATGTTACATTTAAATCAGATGAGCCCTTTCTAGTGTTTGCTCTTTCCCCGTGCTCCCACCCTTAGGGGTCCTCAGTCTTCACCGAGAGTTCTCATGACCTCCTCACACATCACCGCAATGTCTTTCACTGTTTCTCAACCTCCATCATTCCCTCTCCCTCCTTGCCTCCCGCCATGTACCTGGAAAGTCTCATAGTTAAAAACCACATAATAGGGGCTGGGAAGGTGGCTCAGTGGTAGAGTGCTTTCTTTAAAGGCCCTGGGTTCGATTCCTAAGCACCACATAAACAGCAAAAGCCGGAAGTAGCTCAAGTGGTAGAGTGCTTGCCTTGAGCTGAAGAGCTGAGGGACAGCGCCCAGGCCCAGAGTTCAAGATCCACAACTGACAAAAAAAAAAAAATCGGGGCTGGGAAGGTGGCTCAGTGGTAGAGCACTTGCCTTGCATGCCTGAGGCCCTGGGTTCTATTCCTCAGCACCACATAAGCAAAAAGAAAAAAGCCGGAAGTGGCGCTGTGGCTCAAGTGGTAGAGCGCTAGCCTTGAACTGAAGAGCTGAGGGACAGTGCCCAGGCCCAGAGTTCAGGCCCCACGACTGGACCCAAAAAAAAAAAAATCACATAATATACATGGCGCCTTCCGGAAGCTATGTGTCTCTTAGGTCTTCCTTCCACAAGCAAGTGAGCACATGGACCAGTTGGCTTTTGTTGTTGTTGTTGATGGTGGTTGTGGGGCCTGAACTCTGGGCCTGAGTGCTGTCCCTGAGCTCTTCAGCTAGTGCTCTACCACCTGAGCCACAATGCCACTTCTGGCTTTTTCTGCTTATGTGGTGCTGAGGAATCAAACCCAGGGCCTCATGCATGCAAGGCAAGCACTCTACCACTGAGCCACCTTCCCAGCCCCCCAGTTGGCTTTTTGAGCTTGTCTCGTTCAATATGATAATCTCCATTTCCATCCACTTTCCTGCAAATGACACGATTTTTTTTCCTGTTACAGCTGTGTCACGTTGGATTGTTTTTATCACCATTTATGAGCAGAAAGGCGGTGTTCGGGGATCTCGAAACATCAGTATCAATGGGCTGAGGGCGGGATAGGTGGCCGCTAGTAAACTTGTAGTATACTGCTTCCAGACAGGAGGCTTGGACATAACAGTATTATAAATTGACATTGCACAATTGGCAAAATAAAACAAAATGAAAGCACCTGCCAGAAGCAGGATGGTTTGAGTGGCCCTGGCCTCCGGAGAGAGTCTGCGGGTATCTCGGAGGGCATGGATGTACCTCACTTGTCGCTGATGTCTGCGTAGGACAAGAAGCATGTAGATACTTGTCCCAGCCATGAGGCCCAGGAATATAATGTCGGGAAACACTAACACAATTGTGCCTTTGGTAGCCTTTGATACAGGAGGAGTTTTGTACGAGCAAATTCCATAGTCCTTTCTCTGGGTGGCATTGTGGCTGTGCTGAACACTCTCGATGTTTTGAAGGACAAGGTGATTGGCCATCAAGTTGAAAGCCCAACACAGAAGGCAGGAGATACGGACATTCTTGCTAGCTTGCTCTTTGAGCCGTATCCATGCCACCGCTTTGGGGCTGATGGTGATGGCCTGAAAGCTGCTCAGCAGGCAGGTGGTGCAGAGAGAAAGGCCCCTGCCCACCCTGTGGACATAGTAGATGAGTTTGCACCCAGTGCTGTCCAGGAGAATGATTTTACCCCACATAAATATCACCTGGGGAATCCCTTTAACCAGAAGAACCAAGAAGTTGGCCACAGACATGTTGGTGAAGATCAGGTGCGTGGGCCTCGGGGCAGGGCCCATACAGGATGTAGGGGCATAAATTGTGAAAAGAAACAGATTCCCCAGGACTCCAACCCCAGCCTGGGCCAGGAAAAGTAGCCAGAGGATGAAATCACCAAAAGGCATTGTCATGGGATCAGGGGGTGACATTCTGCCCGAAGGTCTGAAGGGTATAAAGTTAGGACTCAGTGTAGATTTGTTCCAGTACCCTAAGTTCTGATAGGAACTCTTGCTCCCCCAGAAACTCCCTCTTGCGAGGACAAACTGTATTTGTGGGAGGTCAGAGTAGCCACTCAGATTTCCCAGCATGGTGTGTTTATTGTATACTCATGAAGCCAAAGCCAAGCCAGATAGCCTTATCTTCCAATTTTCATTCACATGTTCACCACATTATCCACAAAGCCTGGTCTTTCGTATGACAGTTGGGTGGCAAAGATGGCAGCTAAGACCTGCTGTCCACCACTTAGACTCCATGAAGGAGCAGAGTCAGGAGACAATATACTCTGAAGAGAGAGAGAGGGAGAGAGAGAGGGAGAGCATTGAAGATCATAAAAGAAGTTGCAATGGGGCTGGGAAGGTGGCTCAGTGGTAGAGCGCTTGCCTTGCATGCCTGAGGCCCTGCGTTTGATTCCTCAGCACCACATAAGCAAAAAGAAAAAAGCCGGAAGTGGCTCTGTGGCTCAAGTGGTAGAGCGCTAGCCTTGAGCTAAAGAGTTGAGGGACAGCGCCCAGGCTCAGAGTTCAGGCCCCACGACCGGATCCCCTCCCCCCGCCAAAAAAAAAGGAGTTGCAGGAGAAAAGAAAGGGTGGAGAAAGAGAAGTAGCAGAGGAAAAAAAGCAGCAAACAGTTCCATGCCTCATCACCAGGAAGGGAGGGACAGAGATGGAGAGAGACAGAGATAGAGAGCGGTAAAGTCAGAGACAGAGGGATGGAAAAAGACAGAAACAGAGAGACAGCCAAAGACACACAGAGAGACAGAGAGGAAGCTGAAGACCATCACAAAGTGGCCTCGTATGTGGAAAAAATAAACCAATGCAGAAACACAGAAACATGAGAAATCAAGGCAACATGATACCTTCGAAGTGAACAACTCTACCTTCACAAGCACTAACTGAGGATGCTCACTCTATAAATGAGGCAAAAGAGATGATACTGTTATTTTCTAGGGGACAGCTATGTGGAGGCCTATCACCCTACTTATCAGTCAGGGTGATAGTGCCTTCTACTCCTTCCTCAGTGGTGGAAAGGCGGAGACACCCTGTTTGGAACTCCCAGACCCTCAAGTTTGTCGGAAGAGTCAGCAAAGGACCATAGCTTTCCTGGCTCCAGAGACTGGAGTCTTCATCAATGGTGATTTTAAGTCATGCCTTTCAGAAGTGAACCGAAGAAAGAAAACAGTACAACTTCAAAGCCATCCACATAATGACCGTATTTGTGAAATGAAGACCTGAGCTGTGCGTGTGTGTATGCGCATGTGTGCACACGTGTACACACTCATAAAGAGAAGAGGGACAAAAGCTGAAGATTAGAAACATCTACCTAGAATGTGTCACCTCTCTGATTAGCTCCCCCACTTAGGTGCAGAGCGAGTAAGATCAGCAGCCTTCAGGTTCAGACTCAAAATGGCATCTCTCCCCCTCTTCCTGGCACCCATTTTCCTGCCTGTTGTGTGTTGCACTCCCTATCAATCTCTCAGACCAGAACAAGTCCAGCACTTTTTGGACATGGTTTCCTGAAGCCCAAAGGAAATTTGTATCCCATCCCAGTCCTCACCTGCCCTCCAAGTTTACCAACTTAGTGATTGGAACCCAATCCCCCAAATAAGCCAGGAGTGCATGTCACAAGGAGACTCACCATGGTGGATCTCTGCCTTTGGAACAGGCACAGAGCTGTCGCCACTGATGAACGCAGGCTGTCTGGATCTCACAGTTATAGATTGTGAGGTTTATGGAGTTGGTTCCCTGAGGAAGGAGGAAGATGATGAGCTCATCTCCCCATCCAGAGCCGCCATTACCCTGTCACCAGCCAGGGCACTGACAAGTCCTACAGAGGGACCATGGAGGAAGCAGCAGCTGTAAAAGTTAGGCCCAAGACAGTCACAAGGTCCCATGGGTCATTAAGCCAGGAGCTAATTAGCACCAACTGAAAACTCCACTGAGGTCATAACAGAGAACACCCAGGGGTGAGAAGTGTAGACAAGGCGCTCAGCGCTGGGCTGAGACATCCCCACCAGGGTCTTCAAAGCGGATCTTTGCCTCCATGCCCTGTTGCTCCCCTAAAAGACCCAGGATAAGTTCTGTCATGCCCCTGCTAGACGCTGGGCTCCCTGATGAGGTCAGAGCTCCAGTGGGCACTGGGCAGAGTTCAGTCAACTGCTACGATCACACTGTTCAGTGAGCACTGTAAGTTCTCACCCAGCCACTGCTCAGAATGTCCCCAGATTCCTTCCTTGACCTGGACCAGGGCCAAGGCAGCACTGAGAACAAAAGTAACCCTACTTGCCACTCCTGGAGCCATGTTAAGTACATGTTAAGTAAGAAAACTTGGCAGAGCTTTATTAAATAAACAAGCAAATGGGACAAAAAAGCAAACAGAAGGGCAGGGGCACACTCTAGCAGAGTGTGGGTGCTCTCATAGGGACACAAAGACACAGACACAAACAAGAAGATAGCCAAAGACACACACAGCTCCTTGTGCTGTTGGGTATTTATAGTGAAGGACTAATCTAACTCCATTCTAAAAACAAGCCATCATCTCCTGTAAAACTGACCTCAGGTTAAACTTAAGGGACAAAACAATGATTGGAAACACCAGTTCTTGGAAGGTTCTCAGAAAGCTCGCAATTGAAACTGCAATTATACTCATTATACCCCTAGCAGCCCCAGTTAGATAAGAGTTGAGAAACACAACCCCAGTTACTGGAAAATGGACGGGATGGTCAGTTGGGAGAAGCAGCTGCAGGGTCAGGGCTTCTCAAAACTTGCCCGCGAAATGCTGACCAATGATGTAGAAGTCCATGAACCTTAACCCCCCTCCTATTTGCTGGAACCCTATAAGAACCCTACTGAACATGTGGTTGGGCCTCACAACTCTGACCCTCTGCGTCAGTGATGATTATGAGTCCAGGCTCAAGCTTGCAAATAAAGACTCTTTTGCTGTTTGCATTGGTCGTGGTCTCCGAGGGTTGCTCAGGGGTCTCCAATTTGAGTCGAACAATAGGGTAAAGGCAGGGGGGTTGGCTTTAAGTTATACAAAGCTAAGTGCTTTGTCTTTGCTTTAACTATACCTGGTGTTATTCTCTGAGTTTCTAAGTAAGAATGCATTCTGCCATAAAACAGATCCTTATCCTTGAAACAAAGAGTCACCCTGCTATCTGCATTTTGGGGGCATCCTGTCAGGCAGTTGTGAATCCTTGGGTGAGAAATGCATAGCTCAGGAAAGAATGCACTCAGTTGCCTCTCTTTCAAGCAAGGATAGAACTTCTAAGTTTTTAGATACCGCATTTCTGAGTTGCCTACGCCAGGCCTCAGTTTCCATAAGTTATCCTGCTTCATTTCCCCCCACAATGACTTTTGTTCCCTTAATCTTTTTTTTTTTTTTTGTCATGGAGCTTGAACTCTGGGCCTGAATGCTGTCCCTCAGCTCTTCAGCTCAAGGCGAGTGCTCTACTGCTTGAGCCACAGCACCACTTCCAGTTTTCTAGTGGTTTTTATTGGAGATAAGAATCTCATGGACTTTCCTGCCCACATTGGCTTTGAACACAGATCCTCAGATCTCAGCCCCTGAGTAGCTAGGATTACAGGCGTGAGCCACCAGCGCCTGGCTGTTCCCTTAATCTAAGGAAAGTACATGAAGGAATATCTCCTGTATTTGCTATTAACTGACCATACCTCATTTTTCCTAGTCTATCTGGTTTCATTTTCCCCAAAATTACTTTGTTCCCTTAATCCCAAGGGAAGTAGATGGACAAACTTTAAGCTTGAATCTTTGAATCCCTGGCATTCATTTACCATGCTTCATTTTTCCTAGTCTATCTGGCTTCACTTCTAGAATCCCTTTTATGAATAATTATTCACAAATAGAATCAAGAAAAGACAACTCTTAACATTGCACTTGCTCTTTTTTTTTTTTTTTTTTGGTCAGTCAAGGGGCCTGAACTCTGGTTCTGGGCACTGTCCCTCAGCTCTTCAGCTCAAGGTGAGCACTCTACCACTTGAGCCGCAGCACCACTTCCAGCCTTTTCTGCTTATTTGATGCTGAGGAATCGAACCCAGGGCCTCAGGCATACAAGGCAAGCACTCGACCACTGAGCCACCTTCCCAGCCTAGGCCTGGGAATACAATATGTAAGGTCTGCTCCTGGATGGCGAGCAGACTCCACCCTCCTCGCAGCAAAGTCTCTGCCCAGTACCTGCATTACCTAGGCAACTGGCATACCTGGAAGAGGGCACATCTGCACTTGCTGAGGTCATATCTGGATTTGATTGGCCACACCTTTCCCCATCCCTACCCTAGATAAGGCCTAGCCCAGGGCTAGACGACTTCTTTCTCAGGCCTTTCCCAGCCGCTTGGAGTGCCAACATGGCCTAGTGCCAGCCGGAACGATGAATAAACCTACCCCTTATCTGAATTCCACGTGCATGGTGTGGTTCTTACTCGGCAACCTCTTTTAAAAACATAACATAAATGATACCGTGACTTGGATTGGAACCGAGGACCCAGGAAGGGCTTAAAGTCAGGATAGGTGTGATTCCTATCCCTTTTTTTTCTTGTTCCCCCCCCCCCTTTTTTTTTTTGCTCTGAGGAATACCCACAGTTCTGATGGCCTTTTTGCAAATCAGTCTGTCTGCTGTGGACACAGGGCATCAATACCTGCTGCGGACCGGCTCTGTCGGGACGACAGAGGACACCTAGTGGAGGAACTGGAATAGATGGGAAGATGGCAAACAGACAACCCACACACATGAGTGAATGCTGAGTGTGATTTATTGCAGAGGATAACAAGCTTTTATAGCAAAACTTTCCATGAGAAAGGGCAAAAGGTTACACAATCTTGCTGCAAGGCTTCATTCTTGGGTGGTCACCATTTGGTTGCCTGATCTTGTTTTTTTGGATGACGAGCTATGACGACAGGCACTTGTTTTCAGCTTTACTTCTATTTTTAAGAAATACAATTGGTTTTGATGTTTATCACCTATTAACCATTAACTAGAGCATATGGGCAAGGTGCTGGACAGAAAGGCATGAACTCTAGTACTTTATTATTACTTTTGTTTAGTTTTGTACTTTATACATTTTAAATCTTTTCTAAGCAATTGTGTTTCTTTGCCATTCTTTAGAGGGTCCCCAATTTGTGGCCAAAAATCATGATATTCAGTATACTTAGTTAAATCTGGCCATATATCAAATTCAAGCTCATAGTGTCTTTTCTGTAACCCTTTCACATAATCGTTTACTCTACTCTATAGAGGCCTTAACTGTATCATAAGATCTTTCTTGTTCCTTCTTTAATAGCAAGCACCAAGGAGGCCTAGATCTAGCAAGTCTCTCAGTAAATGAAAGAGAGTAATAGGAAGTTCTTTCTCCTAAGTAGTTTACCCAACGGTTGCCATCCTTATCATACACACCTGTAAAAGGCTGTGGATCTGGGGGAAGTCTTTGGGGTCCTCTAGATAATAGAGGATCCCACCATTTTCCTCTGATAAGCCATTGCCACCTTTCATCTACCAACGTTTTAGGAATCTTATTTAGCTTTTGGTCTAAATATCCCTCTACATCTTTCTTATCTACAGGATATCTATATGAGTCTATTGTATATGCTTCAGGATTAAAGGGAAGTCTCCAATAGCCATACACTCTTTTTGCTCTAGCCATGCCTACAGCTTCTTGTAAATCTCTTACAATTCCTTCTGCTGAAGTGACGTCATGAAACCCCCAATACTTTTATATTTACTTATGACTTGTCTACTAGCCTCCATAAGAGGGGCTTTCAGGGTAGCACTTAACTCTGGTGAGTTAGTCATATTTTCAAGACACTCATCAGATGTTGGAGTCATCAACACTTCCAAGAAAGAGCCTTGAATAAGGGAACATTGAGCATGAGTAAGTAGAACAAGCAGCAGGAGCAGTAAAAGATTGATAGGCACTCCTACACAGTGAAGAAAAGAAAAACAGGAACAGAAACACATCTTTCCCAGGGGCTTGCCAGCCTTTCCAGGAGGTAGGCCTCTTTGAAGCCCCATCCTCAGATCTGAAAGCAGGTTTCCCATGTTAAGTAGACTCCACCGGAGTAGGCGTGGCAAATACCATTGCTGGCCTCTGCGTCCACCTCCACGCTTCTACATTTTGGTGAGTCAACTACTCTTTAAGGGTTCTCTGTCACTCAGTCTCTCTCCAGATGTGGTACCACACCAGAGAACCTACTAGGTCTTTAACTGAAAGGCTGGTCACGTCTGGAGCAGAGGATGCTTGACTCTGGTTGCTTGGCAACTTCTTTTTAAAAACCTAACACAATAGAAGGGCAGGGAGGTGGCTTAGTACCTAGCATGCACAAAGCCCTGGGTTTGATACCTGAGTATCACCTACATAGAAAAAGCCAGACGTGGTGCTGTGGCTCAGGTGGTAAAACGCTAGCCTTGTGCAAAAGCAGCTCAGGGACAGCGCCCAGGCCCTGAGTTCAAGATCCAGGACTGGCACAAAAACAAAAACGGTGTCATTCTGCCACCAAAGTGAGTGCCATCTACAGTGACAGAAGTCCCTCGGGTTTTTTGTTTGTTTTTGCTTGTGTTTTTTTTTTTTTGGGGAGGGGGGTCCGGTCGTGGGGCCTGAACTCTGGGCCTGGGGGCTGTCCTTCAGCTCTTCAGCTCAAGGCTAGCGCTCTACCACTTGAGCCACAGCGCCACTTCCAGCTTTTTTTTCTTTTTTCTTATGTGGTGCTGAGGAATCGAACCCAGGGCCTCAGGCATGCAAGGCAAGCGCTCTACCACTGAGCCACCTTCCCAGCCCCATGTTTTTTTTTTTGGTACTTGGAATAACGGTCGGGTTTGGGAATGACCTTGGCCGTGATCACGGCCGTGGACGTGGGGTAACCACGTCCCTCAAACTGTCTCCTTCGTGTTCCACGCGCCGCGTCCCCTCGCAGCTCCCCAGGAAATGGAGATTTTTGTTGTTGTTGTTGTTTTGTTTTTCCTCTTCGCAGTGCCCTCCAAGAAGACCATTCAGCTGCGCGTCGCGTCCCGTGGCTCCTGCCGCTTTCCGTAGGTCACAGGCCGCGCAGAGCTGTCCCAGGATGGCGGCCTCCAGGG